ACAAATGAACCCACATACGCATACACAAATACACACACAAACGCACACACATAAGAAGCACAGCCTTGTAACTTCCAGCGCTGCTCTCTTTGTTTGGTAGCTTATTGACGTTTTAGTTTGACTGAGTCCTAACCTCCTGAGCACCGGCAATTATCCGACTGTCTCAGCTAATGCTAAGGATGTCTATGTGTAAATGCATATTGATTTCTCAGGCTGGGGGGGGGGGGGGGGGCGAGCACCGAGTCATTATTTACCCACGCCTTACAGTACAAACCCATGCTGAAGATTAGGGTTGTTTGTATGAGAACATAAGTGAATAGAACTAGGCCTACATACAAAGTGAATTTTTTTTTTTAAAGAGTTATAACAGGGTTTTAGTTCATAAGGGTTAGGTTAAAATGATTAGTTTGGTTTAGAGTAAGATGTGGATGAGGGCAGAAGTAACGTGGGAATGAAGAAGGGGGAGGGGGGAGTTAAGCTTACGATCGGGGTGGGGTTGGAGCGCCTGTGTGACTATTATATAACAAGGGTACGTATATGTTCATTTCATCATCTTTTCCCGTTCGTGGCCAAGACGCATGGGGCAGATGAAGTAGAGTTCATCCAATTCAAGGACCTCGACATGTGTGGGGACAGTGTGGTTAGCAGTCTAGCTCTCTACCACTAGGCCACGCCGTCCCCAACTTTATTAAAATGTGGGGCCTTCTGATGTGCGAGCCCAGTCCGTTCTCTGCCATTGGTGATAGCTGAAGGCTACTACTTATGTTAGGTATAGGTACTACTACGGGCCATTCTTATCCAAAGCATCAAATTACTTATCGGCTTCCAGTTTAAACAAAAAAATAACACCAATGGTAAGACGTTAGTTTTCAAATCGAAATTCTTCCGTATACAGACTTGTTTAAGGAAATCCATAACAAGACTTTTGAAAAAAATAAAAAATAAAAGCTACGGAAATAAAAGTAATGTGTGTAGAAAGTATTTAAAATTGATAAAATATTTTCTGTCAATTTCTCTGTCGGATCAACAGGATTTGTACACATGCAAGCGCCAGTGTCAGACCTCGGGTTAAGGACCGCGAGAGACGACAGTCGCTGGCGAAGACGAGAGGCTGAAAATAAAATGACAGCCAGAATTCCACTGTGAGGATGGAGAAGGGGGAGGGGGGAGAAATATCTTTTTTTTCGTCGCCATGGAAACAGTCGTAATTTTTTTTTAGGAAGTTGGAGATGAGGGTAGGTCCCTCCTGTCCTCTCGCAGGCGCGTGCTTTGATTTTAATACGTTTTCTACTGGACAGTGTGGTGAACGGATGGATAGGAGGGTTGGGGCTAGAGAAGGCAGAAAGGAGAGATGGATGGATTGGAGGGTTGGTGCTAGGTAAGGCAGAAAGGGAAATATGGATGGGGGATTGGGCTAGGGGAGGTAGAAAGGAGAGATGGATGGATTGGAGGGTTGGTGCTAGGGAAGGCAGAAAGGGAAATATGGATGGGGGATTGGGACTAGGGAAGGTAGAAAGGAGAGATGGCTGGGGGATTGGGGCTAGGGGAGGTAGAAAGGAGAGATGGCTGGGGGATTGGGGCTAGGGGAGGTAGAAAGGAGAGATGGCTGGGGGATTGGGGCTAGGGGAGGTAGAAAGGAGAGATGGATGGATTGGAGAGTTGGTTCTAGGGAAGGCAGAAAGGGAAATATGGATGGGGGATTGGGGCTAGGGGAGGTAGAAAGGAGAGATGGCTGGGGGATTGGGGCTAGGGGAGGTAGAAAGGAGAGATGGATGGATTGGAGAGTTGGTGCTAGGGAAGGCAGAAAGGGAAATATGGATGGGGGATTGGGGCTAGGGAAAATAGGATGGATGGATTGGAGAGTTGAGGCTAGGGGAGTTAGAAAGGGAGAGATGGATGGATGGGGTAGGGAAGGTAGGGAGATTGATAAATTTGAGGATTGGAGGGTTGGTGCTAAAGATAGCAAAAGCAGAAAAGAAAAAACAGATTGGATGGTTGGTGCATAAGTGCATGGAGCACCAGAGAGGGCAGCCACGTTCAGCCAATGACCGAAAGTACGGAAGTACGGAAAAAAATAATTGCTAGCTATTAAGCAATGAACGGGTGACGACACGCAAGCTATATTTAATTATAGATTTAAATAAGGAAACGCTTGTCTGGGGAAGGTTGTAGGCGTTGGTCTAAGAATTTGTTTATGGTTCGTCCAGTTGACTCGCCCGGCAGTGTAAATCTGTGTTGGTGCTTCAAGGTAAAAATCCTCCCTACATCCTCGTTAAGGTTATGGTTTATGACTCGACTCAGTAATTGGTTTATGGCTTTTCCAGTTAAACGTGTAACTCTGTACTGGAACTCGGTAGGTTAGAACCCTCCCTGCACCCGTTAGGGTTAGCATTAATGGTTAACTTAACTTCAGAGCCTGAATCCTTACAGACTGTATCTCCAACTCATAAGTATCTCAATACATCTGGGTGTTGTACCTAACGAAACACTTCAGTTATAATGCGATACAAACCAACGCCCTAAACAATTTGTGGATACCTCGGCTAACACAAAATATAACATGTAACCTATGTGAGGGAGGGAGGGAAGGAGGGAGGGGGGGTGTTTAATGCCACTCAGGAGCAGCTTTGAACGATTTTTGCCCTCCGCTGAGACAGTGTTATGCAACAACAACAACACACAACACAGCTTTTTAAAATAAATTCACTGAAAGGAAAATAATTATGGATGGAGGTAAACAAGAAAAAAATACATTCGTTTAAAGGCAAATATTTTTAAGGGTTGGGTTAAAAGGAAATGCATTCGTTGAAAAGGGAATAATTATGAACTATAATGTAAAAAAAAGACACAGTGTTAACAACTAATTAAGTATTTTTCCAGTAAATCCTCAGCATATTTATTAAGTTCTGTCTAGACTCGACATTATCATATTGAGGGATTCTTTCTACTGTAAACACTACTAGAGTTAGGAGCTAAAACCAAGTTTAGTGCTTTGGATATGGTTAGGACTATTTTTATTGGTTCTGGAAATTCGGTTAGGGCCAAAACTGGATTTAGAGAAGTAATTATATATGTTTTTCAGCATAAAACATAACTTACTTTCATCATATTGTTTATCTAAAACAATCTCAATAAAACAAAGAGACTAGTGTTTACTATTTACAGGCGAATGAACTCTATAGACTATATACCTAGGAGACAAGTTAAGATCTAACTCAGCAAACAAAGCCATGAAGTTCTTGGGTTGATGTGGCAGACAGAAGAGACAAACACAACACACACTGACCTACCTTGAATTGGTGAACTGCAACATCCTTTGTTGTCTTGTGGAAAACCTATTTGTTTCTTTTTATTTATTTTTTACGTGAGTCTAAACTCAGACTCACTTAAACTTAATTAGGCAAATATTTCAAATATAAATTGTTATCAAAGTGGTAATTATTGCAATCATCAACTAATTTCTTGTTATCTTTGGAATTTTTTTTTTAATTAATTATTTATATTTTATTTTTTAATTAATGATTGCAGTTATTACAAAATTTAATTTAAAATGTTCCTATTAATAGCCATAAAAAAACAGTGCAACAATGTATAAATCAGCTGTAAGACATCATTAGTGAAGGAAGTAATTAAAGTGATGGTTGACAAAGGGAGACAACAAGTAAAAATGATTGCTGAATGTATGCCTTGGTTAATTCAACATTTCTACTATTTATTTCAACTATTGAATTCATTCAACTCTGAAAAAATTTCTCTACTTTTATATTTTTCAAGCCTATTTTTAGGACCTAAAACTATATTCGCTCTCTCAACCAAAAATTATTTTTTAAAAACAACATTTTCTGTTGAACTTCACGTATAGTTACTTTTTTTAACTAGCTAAGTGGTTTGAATAAAAATGTTCAAACTAGTTAGAAAAAGTCTAACTAAATTGTAAGGAGGATAAATTGTAGACAATTTCATAAAATTGTCAATAAAACAAACTAAACTGACATTGCCAGCTGGGAGGTAATAAAAGCTAGTCAAGAATCATGGACAGGTGAGAGAGACCCCACCCTTGCTTGTCTAGATAGTTCTCATATCACCTGTGTGAGAGATCTATGACCAGCAAATGGCTGGCTCTAATTGTTGATGTAGTTCAACTACTGTCTGTCTCAGGTGGGGCGAATACTAAACAGGTGGATGGGGAGTTGGACATGATGGAGTGGAGGTGAGTGGATAGTGTACAGGTGAGTGGATAGTGTACTGGTGAGTGGATAGTGTACAGGTGAGTGGATAGTGCACAGGTGAGTGGATAATGTACAGGTGAGTGGATAGTGTACAGGTGAGTGGATAGTGCACAGGTGAGTGGATAGTGCACAGGTGAGTGGATAGTGTACAGGTGAGTGGATAGTGTACAGGTGAGTGGATAGTGCACAGGTGAGTGGATAGTGCACAGGTGAGTGGATAGTGTACAGGTGAGTGGATAGTGTACAGGTGAGTGGATAGTGTACAGGTGAGTGGATAGTGTACAGGTGAGTGGATAGTGTACAGGTGAGTGGATAGTGTACAGGTGAGTGGATAGTGTACAGGTAAGTGGATAGTGTACAGGTGAGTGGATAGTGTACAGGTGAGTAGAAGTAGTGTAAAAGTAAGTAGTGTACAGTTCTGAAGATAGTGTAAAGCTCTGTATATAGTGTAAAGTTCTGTATATAGTGTAAAGTTCTGTAGATAGTGTAAAGGTGAGTAGATAGTGTACAGTTGGGTAGATAGTGTACAGTTCTGAAGATAGTGTAAAGTTCTGTAGATAGTGTAAAGTTCTGTAGATAGTGTAAAGTTCTGTAGATAGTGTAAAGTTCTGTAGATAGTGTAAAGTTCTGTACATAGTGTAAAGTTCTGTACATAGTGTAAAGTTCTGTACATAGTTTAAAGGTGAATAGCTGATGTGTAGCTATGAGTAGTTAACTATCAAGATGAAACACATGGGTTAGCCAATGGAATGTGACTGTGAAATCTCTTACCCTCTCCAAGCCCAGAGGATTTGAGATCACCCTCCTTTCACCCCGCTGCAGTGCTCTCTGGGGGTCCAACAAAGTCCCTCCCTGTTTTTCTATTCGACCATGACTGAGCTTTCTCACAGGTGTAGTCAGCCATTTCCTGAAAGTTTCAATAACAATTATTAAAGGAGTCAAAGGTGAATAGATTATGTATATCATACCTAAGGCTTTATAAAAAATCATAATTTATAAATCATTAAAAGAAATAACCATTCCAATTAAATTATAACAACTTTCTCATTTTTGGAAGGTTAGGAAAGGGGAAAAAAATATATAAAACTTTGAAACTTTTAAACCAAGGGAAATAACTTACTTAAAACTACTTCGTCTTTTGCTCACTGGTGATGATGTCCCTTCAGCATTGTTCATTGAATCTGACAAGGGAAGTGTACATTAAAGTAATGAGACATATGTCTTATAGAATCATTTAAAGACAAAATCTTAAGACAGCTTTAACTTTAATCAATTAAGTGACTATACAACAAATCAATAGTTGACAAGATTTGAATATACTGTTTTTGATTATGTGTAAGAACATCTTGACAGAACAGAATATAGCCTCCCTATTGTTGTAGGACTAGACTGTTTTTTGATTGTATGTAAAATATCTAAAGCTTTACAAGAATAAAATTATGTTACTAAAAATTCTAAACATTAAGTATCAAAATCAACAGACCCACTAAAATTTTTTCTTTAATTTATTTTGGGGTTTTAAAAGTTATTTAACAACTCTAGCATTCTTGATCCACTGATTCTAAGATTTTGGTGTTACCAATGTGAAGATTTTCAGGATGATCAGTTTCAAAAAGCAGACTTACCATCTAGATCAATACTGTTTCTGGCCCCAGGTGTTTGTAGAAATGAGATAGGTTTTAGGACAGACATAGGAACTAATCCCTGCGAGCTGTCAGCGCCATCTGGCGGGAGTGTACGGACCAGGCACCAGTCTAACTGACCAGGTGAGGCATCGATGATTTCTACATGCTGCCCTCGCATCACGCTCACTTCTTTGGGGCTTGAGGCGATGAAATCCTCCACAACCAACGTCAGGTCTTGTCCAGCCTTAAATAAAATTTAAAGTAAAAAAAATTAAATATATGAAATATAGGCAAAGGAAAATGTGGTTATATTACTTCATTATTTAAAAAATTAAGGGTGGCATGAGGAGATATGCTATTTCAAAGATAAACAACTAATTTATAATGATAAAATCAGGGGAAAAGATATAGAAATAACATGTTTAGTCAATAAGACAAAGATAATGATTAACAAAAACTGTATAAAGTTAAGCTAATATTAATGAGACCCGGTGAGAAGCTTAGTAGCCACAACATACCAGAAAAGTTCAAAAAGTTTTCAATTGTTAATTAAGATTATTTACTTTTATTTATAACTAAAACTCATTTCTTACATCCAGATTTCATGAACTAATAAGGGGAAAGTAATCTTACAGGTTTTTAATGAAATTACAGTTTAAAACAGCAGATGTCTGTGATTGCCTGAGTAAAGCAGCCATGTTGATACAGACATGTCAGAGATTGGGTGAAACAAGATTATCAAAGCAGAAATATCTGGAGATTGCTTGATCCAGGATCAAACATGGAGGACAGGGTATTAGGCCTTAGCCTTACACAGATCTACACATCCCCAAGGTGGGTTTAAAACTTATTTTACATGACATCTTCTTAAGCTTAAGCTATCAACAAGCATGGTTGATATTTTACATGTTTGTTGTTTTTTTTTAATAATATTGTTGAAAAAAAATTCTGCTGAAATTCTGGTTTTGATTTTTGGGTTGTTTTTTTTTTTGCTTAATTCTTTTCTTTATTAGCATTAGTCAAAATGAGTATTTTTGCTGATTTTCTAAATTGTATGTAAATAAAAATTTTAATAAAGCAAAAACCTCATCTGCTTACTATAAATTTTAATCAGCTACAACAAAATTAAGGGAAGGGGGAGAAAAATCAAGATTTACTCCTTTGTTTAAATGTGGTAAGGGGAAGCAACTTATTTTTGTCAAAAACAAGTGTTGCTAAATGACTTCATTCTACAAAAAACTAGATCTATATGAGTTATCAAACAAGTAAACATTGATGGAAGGACATGTTGCTATTTTTTAAAATTACCCTATTGTAAAAAATTACAGACAATTGTGAATCAATACTGGGACCAAAATAGTGCATGTATTTAGGATTTTGTTGTTATCCTTATTACTCTAACCATTATTATTATTACACATGATAATCAGTGTGTATATTAATAAAATTTACCCATTTGGAAAGCCCATAAGGTCTAAAAAGCACAGGTACTGATAAGTAGTTTGTGCATCATCATATCATAATGGTATAGCCTTAAGGTGGTGTTAAAGTGGTGAGCAAATAAATAGATATAAATTCCAGTATAGAAACAAACAAAGAACCACAAAATAAATTGTATTCAAAATCATTTTTATAATTGATACTGATTCCTTACTGTTGTTTGTTTTTATTGTTTTTTTTTAATGCTAATGAATTAAAAATAGCCCACCATGTGATCGCTGCATCCTCAGGTCGACTACCTAAGTGCACCAACACACAAGCTACACTCAACAGTATCTGATTCTCTCACAAATCAAATCTTATCAAAGAAATCAACAGACCACCCCACTGTTAGGCAGGCAGCAAAGAGTTTCATCCCCTTGTCAGAAACAACAACAGTTCATCCCCTTGTCTGATGCACAATAAAGTGTACTGTATGCCCCTCTACAGATAGCAAATACCACAGGGCTTCTTATTTCCAGACCAAACACAATTAATATTATCAAAACTTTTTTTTTTACCCTAGCAGTTGTTTCATCTGCTCACAGCAGCTGGTCTTATATAATGGCCCTAAAAGAAAACATTGCTATAAATCTATTCTTCAGGAGCACGTCAACTCATAATTTACTAGATATAAATATATATGACCATTTAAGCACATTTAAATACTTGATCTGCACTAATAATATAGTAAAGTAAAAATCCATTTTTTAACTTGTAGGTTTATGGAGCAAGTGAAGTAGAGTTCACTTGTATCCATGAACTCGGCACATGTTAGGCTAGTATGGTCAGCACTATGACCAGCCGTCTTTACTTTCCCTAATGTGAGTTTGGTACACATCAGAGCTGGTTGGAATCAGGAGAACTCTACTGACTTGAACCCAGATTCGAACTTGATACTTTTGTGATAGCATTCTAGCGCAATACCTAATGGCCAACAGGTGAAAAAACTGACCTACTGCCTAAGTCTGTAAATTGTTAATTGACATAAACCTATGGTCATAAAGCTTAAACCTCAACATCTTAGATGTTAAAGGCAGTCATAAATTACTCCTCTAAGGGGGCATTTGGACTTATGCTGGTGATGTGTAATGAAGGGGAGGTGGAGAAGGTGTTCAAAAAGTGTGACAGTTTTGCAATTTATTTTTAAAACAGCAATTCAGGAGTTCTTTGACATTTTGAACATACATTAATCAATACACTTAAGGTTGACTCAGCTCAATTACTATTTTATACAGTAATCAGTTTCAAAACACAAAAAATTCAATTTGGAGGTGAAAAACTGTCAAAAATAGGATAACTCAATTATAAACAACCCTTTAGCCTAATCAGACCAAAATCAACTGTTTGAGACATTAGAGCAAGACGCACTTTTGGATTAACCCAAAACAGTGCTTGTACCTTATACTGATTCATCACAAACCTACTCAGCTAGACACCAGTATCAAGTAAAACTGTCTGTACAATTTGATTTCAAATGAGAAATTTGATTCTACTCTAACACTGTGGTCATGTTGTCAGGTAGCTAAAAAAAAAATCTACCCAGACAGGCTTAGATTTGGTAGACCTGACATTTGGTTAAATGTCAACCAGAGAGAGTCCAACACTACAGACAGACAGACAGACAGACATAGTTTGTCCTCTTTTTTTTAATTTGTTAATGTGGGGAGTATGGTGAATACTGAGTGTGTTAGTTGGTCAAGACAGGTGGTACTGGCTGGAATCTAGAACACTTATTTTAAGCTTACAGCACACAAAGATGGGCTAATCTCTTTGAGGCTTAACCTTTATATTTAGATTAGATACAACTTAACCTTTATATTCTCCTACTTCAGGCTTAAGAATAAAGTAATGGGACGATATAGTTGGAGCTTACAGTATCTAAGCTCTAAAACCCTAATTGAATTTGATACTTCTCTTCTCTTATACAGTCATTACCAGCTCAAGCTATTGCTCATTAGCCAGGCAAACTAGAACTGGGTTAAGACTCGAGCATTTCTTTCACCCATGTTCCCAGCCGCAAGACACATGGGTTTCCGTCAGGCTTTTCCTTCCTCCCTCAGTGAATCACACCCCATGGTTTGGACATGAGAGGCAGTTCTGTCAAGGGACGACCTACGGCCGTGAGCCCAGGATACGAACTCGTGACTTTTGGATTAGCGAGCGCACGGTCTACCGCTAGACCATGCTGTCCCCTTTGATACTAAATGGTTTTGTAGGGAAAAAAATGCCTTAGACATTTTTATTTGTTTAAAAAATATCATCAACCAATAACCCATATCTTTAAATCCTTCATCCACTTCTCCTGCCAGAAAAAGTTTATCTTCAATGATAAGAAAATCATTTAACTAACCACAAGTAAGTGACCTGCCAACACCAATGACCTAACAACTCGGCCACCCTGGATGGAAGGTTAACGCTCAAGCCTAAGGTTATGAGTGGATTAAAACAAGAAATGACAGATATAGCTTAAGGTGAGTGTTTTGAGTGGATTAAAACGAGGAGTGACAGATACAGCAGATGAAACGTTCACCAGCTCATCCTGTGCTGATGCTGCTCCGCGTATCTTTAAATCAACCTGGCGTGTTTACTGCAGCACTTTGTGTGACCTGGCCCAGGAAACAGCCTGGGTCGCTTTATCTCCGCGTGTAAACAAATAAGATGAAATCACAACTTCTCCCTCCCTGTAAGCTGTTTTTTAACTCAAGTATTTTTTTTTAACCAAGAGGTCATCTACCCCAGTCAACAATTTTAAAAACAATTATTTATCCAACAACTGTCTGGGTGTTGTGCTTTTAGTTGTAAAGTTAAAACACAGTTATAACTAGATAGTACTGACATCAGTAAAGAGCACTAGTAAGTACTAGACACACCTCCTCCACGTTAATTTTATTTTCAGCAACATCTGCATTAGGACCTTGATGTGAAAATACTTTAAATAAAGCTTATGTAAATCATAAAACCATAGAAGCACTAGTTGGATCTGACTGCTGAACTACCTTGGTATGCTCCAGCATGTAGCCAGCCTTTGACAGAGCAGCCATTCATTTATCAAAAGCTTACATTTGCTTATCACATGCTTGGTGTTTGCCAGAGAGAGATCAAGGTCAAGCCAACAAGGTCGGCCTGTGTCTGGCACAGGTGAACTGTAGAGTTGGATGTACAATTGGATGTCCAGAGCCATACATGTCCATGGGAGGCAGAATTTCTTTCAGGCATCTCTTCTGGGGGAGGGGGGGGGGGGGGGAGATGACCTCCCACTAAAGCACATCTACTACACCCCCACAACTATTCACTTCCATGTGAGGTCAAACTATTCACTTCTATTAGAGGTCAAATTATTTACCTCCATTAGAGGTCAAACTATTACTTCCATGTGAGTTCAACATTCTAGCATCCATGTGAGGTCAAACTACTCATCTCCAAAGCACCACTTTTTTACGTCTAAGTAACGTTACCATTTCCTCCACTGTTTACTTTTTCACGACCAGAAAAGTTAACTTTTTCTCACCACTCTACAAGGCCGCACTTTACCACGACACTCAGCAGGTAAAGCCACCAGCTTCACTACTAGGTGACCAACATTTTTCACGACCAGAAAAGTTCACTTTTTTCTCACCACTCTACAAGGCCGCACTTTACCACGACACTCAGCAGGTAAAGCCACCAGCTTCACCACTAGGTGACCAACACAGTACGGGGTTACTTTATTTAACCACACCAAAAACAGTCCAAGTTTACATGGCACACGTCTTACCGGCAGCC